GATAGATAGATAGAAATGACAGACTGAGATAGCTATGAAAATACAGAGATAGATAGATAGATAGATAGATAGATAGATAGATAGATAGATAGATAGATAGATATGAAATGACTGGGATAGATATAAATAACGGACTGAGGTAGATATGAAAAGACATATATATATCGATAGATATTCTTAAGAGTTTTATCCTTTAACAAAATTCAAATATATGCCAACGAATGCGTTTCACTTAAACGAAAAAAAAAATGGATTATCTACTCAATAACCAATACCATCAATGACAACGTATTGAAAACAAATACGTGATGTAAAGTTATAATTATTTTAATATATAAAAACGTGGAATGTAAGAATCTTGCCAGAATCTATTTTACATACTGATAAGTCTACCGTTCGTCCTTGCTTTGAATATTGCTCCCACATCTGCTCTGGTGCTCCTGCTATATATTTAAAGATTCCTGATTAAAACTGAAGATGAACCTGCAATGTTGTTGGACCTGATCTGATGTATCGGCTACAGTCCCTTTTCCATCCCCATAACATAGCTTCCCTGTGCCTTTTCTATAAATACTTTTATAGCGGTTGTTCTGATGAACTCCCCCCCATAGTTCTTAGATTTTGAATTATTGAATTTATTATCGGGATGATCTCATCATTTTACAGTTGAACTAGCTAGACGTAACCGTAAGTTCTATGCTAACAGTTTCTTCTATCATACTTGTGGATCTCGCTTCCGGTTTCTTTCTTCCCAGTCTACTTTGATCTTCAAAACTTTAAATGCAATATCAATCGTTATTTTTCTGTCTTCTTAATTCTTATTCTTTTATTGTCTTTTCTCTTTATGCAGTAGTTTTTCTCATATTCTCTAACACTCAGTAACTTCTTGCGTCCCAGTGGCTTTATTGCCTTGCTTGGGATAAAATTATAAAAAAAAAAAAAAAAAAAAAAAACGTAGGGAGGAGTGATTTGGGGTATGCCCACGCTAAACCTCTCTTTCTATCCGGCGTAACGAGATTTTTACTCATCCTAACGGAAATGATGTCAAAGAACAAGAGAAAATGAGTTTCTGCCCTTTTTTTCAACGTTAAACGTAACATACAGCCTCCGGCATAAACACTGTTACAAAAGAAAAAGTTTATAACTCATGAAAAAAAATATTACATCATTGTTACAATTTTAAAAGTATTAATCTACTAAATAAGAGTGTAATATTTATGGCCCCCTTTGGACTTCACTAACCGTTGATGTCTTTCGGGTAAATCACTGATGGCGGCACGCACAGTTTTCAGTTTGGCTTTCAGAACATCAAACATGGTGTTGCGGAGTAGAACAGGCCTCACTCTCAAGAACTGCCCACAAACTATAGTCAATAGCGTAGATACCGGGTGATGAAGGAGGCTGTTATTGGGTCCTCCCTTTTTTCATATAAGTGGACTCGACCAATGTGTTACTTATACTATACGCTAACCTTGTATTCTCACATGAATAAAGCTTTCTTAAGGCCTACACCTACGTACTTTTGTCATTACAGTGTGTATATAGTATTATTTAAACTTTATTTTTAGTGGATACCCATATTTGAGAAGACGCTCCCTTTATTTATTAAACTATATTATCGACTCAAAGACAGCTATCTATTATAGCATACCATATCAAATGATGGTTCCATTTGGGGTTACAGGATTGATTCCTGTCAGAAAAGCACATGTTTCGAAATTTCTCGAATATTCAGACCGGTAAATGTAATTAATAATAAGACCATTTACTTAAAATAAATTACATCTTTAAAAATAATTTATAAACAGAAAATATATTAAAATAATTGTCGGAATTAATTCATTTCATAATATGTTGTCATTGTTTATATTAAGATACTGTTATGGCGTCCTCCCCTTTTTCATATAAGTGGACTCGACCAAAGTGTTACTTGGACTGCTGCCGTTAAATACCCAGAGTCAGAATACAGAGAGAGAGAGAGAGAGAGAGAGAGTAAGTAAGAAGACTGAGATTGTGGTTAAGTTGGAGGTAGAGTAATAGTATGAGGTAACCGCTTGTAGAAGTCAGTTACCAGCACGTAGACTCTAAGGAAGTCCTACTTCGAGACTGTATATATCTATATATTATTGCTACTAACCGCGTTCCTGGATTTACTAAGTATTACCCTTTGTACTATTGTGTAAATACATTTTATTTCTTATCTTTAATTCCTGCGTTTGTCATTCATTGGAGACCGAATTTCATCTCAGAATCCACAACAGAGGCCATTCGTCCTTGATGATGAATCCAAGACCATTGTCTCTGCGCCAGTTCTGTGTTACGCGAGCAGTATGGCTCGTCATTCTTTCTTGTGGAAATGTCCACAGTTCATCACCATCAGTGGCATTGCATTGTACATGTCCTTCGTGTAGACTTCCTTGATAAACTTTACGTCTAGAGGCAAGAAAAGAAGAGGAGGCGATCTTTTTCGGAAAGAGATACCCAAACCATAACTGATGACGGTTTCTGTAATCTGGTTAAGGATCTGAATGACGACTTGTTGAAAGAGCACGATCATTTTCATGATTAACTATCCTCTTCAACATTAAGCAGATTATGATCAGTGAAAATAATGTTTTGCAACGTGCCATCAAGAATCGATTTCATCAAACTGCTTACGTCGTCAAAGACTCTTTTTCAAAGAAGCCCTCTCTTGCTTATTCTAAAGGGTGAGATCTCTAGATGATTTCCACGTAGCCTTCCTATAATTCTCGCCGATCTTCCGGCTTCCTTAACTAATTTTCTCATTGACCGTCTTGAATTACGCACCTGTTTAATGGTTTTTGGCCTTCTGGAGGTGCGATGACGTCTTAGGGTAGTTTATCTTTGATGGGGGAAGTCTCCTTGTATCAGTCGATTGTCCTTATGATAAATATTCTATTAAATCTAAGTTTATTTGACATTCTTATACTGTTGTCCTCATCTTTATTGCCATATTCACGAGGTTTCGGTCGTTGTACGCTCCGGCCTTTTTCAGGTGATTGAAATTTCGAACTGAACTATTTATTTCCTTCACCGGGGTAGATTGTTCTAGTTCCACGTGCTATACCTCTCCCGGATGTCTCAGTTATCTGCCTTTAATTCAACTCAACAAGTTTTTTTGTTCACCACTGCAGTAGGTACGTATTGATCTCAACTCTTTGGGTCAAGTGACTGGATACAACCAACGTTTTTATCCTTTTGTCCTTGTCCAATGTAAGTAATGTAAATAATTACAATACCTCATCTCATAAATATAGACCCAAGTTGTTTTCCAGCTTTAAAAAACTCATTGGAGTCTGTTCTATTTTTAATGTTGCTCAATGATATAATTTCTTTTAATTTCTATAGACAATAGATAAATACTAAAACACTTTGAAAAATATATATAGAATATATTGTGGGGGGGGGTATAAAACCCTAAACCAAAAAGTAGAATTAATTTCAAATATTATAAAAGCTTCTATGCCACACCCTGTACATACATTGCGTTTGTCATATGTGGATTCTACTGGATGGGAAAAAGGTTATTTCTTCCTTCTGCAAATATTGTTTCGTTTATTACGCTCGTGCGTTCACTCATTCGACTGGACAGTTCGTGAGGACAGACGTAGATCCTGAGAAAGAAGAGAGATTGTCATAAAAGTAGATTTGTGATTCCAAATTCTAAACAAAAAAGAAAATTTGAGGTTGGTAAGTACAGCGAGCAAAGCTTTGTAATAAAAATCAATTTCATGAGAAATTATGACATTTCATGTCAGGAAGTTAAACAAATATTATCTCTTGCTTCAAAGATTCTGGAAAGAGCCAATCAGATTTTTTTAACGATATCACGTGGTATAATATCTAAAGATAGAGACAGCAATGACTTCGATGAGTAACTTATATCAGGGATCAAGGGATCAATTTAGTTACTTAGCTTTATAAATAGCTTTCTCATTCAGTTTATTTCAAGCTCAGTCAATTCATATCTCTATCTCTATTCATTATGTGCATACCTATCCGACTATCTTGTTATTGTCATATATGTATGCACATACATACACAAACATAATATATATATATATATATATATATATATATATATATATATATATATATATATATATATATATATATTACATGTATGTGGATATATGAATATATATGTAATTGCTATATGTATTATTTAAATATTATATATGCTTAGTTGTATTGGTGTGAGTTTGACCCTGGGTTTCATTAACCTGGCGGTCGTCAAACAAACTTTGTCTGACGATCACAAGGGTCTAAAGCTCATAATCACAAGCTCACATCAATACAACTAATATATAATATATATATATATATATATATATATATATATCATTATGCTCCTATCTATCTATCAATATCCTTTAGTTCGTATGATTCTATCCGTCTATCTATGTTTGTCTGATATATATATATATATATATATATATATATATATATATATATATATATGTATGTATGTATGTATATTAAGTCGCCTCATTGCATAATTTAGACAAGTTTTGTTTGCGATAAACGCTAAGGTTATGGACTGTATATAACCTTAACGTTTTTGACTTCAGACGTAAAAAAAAATTATTTTCAGATGAACACAGCAATTTTGTCTGGGAAAAATGATGAATACAACAATGTTTTTTCTTAGAAAAAACAAGATCCTGATGACGACATTATGCCAAAATATACGTAATGTATATATATGTGTGTGTGAGTGTGTATGTGTGTGTGCGCGCCTTTATGCTCACATTTCCCTATCTATCTATCGATCTATCTATCATAGTCTCTTAATATTTATCAATTTATCATATATACACACACACACATCTATCTATATATCTATCTATCTATCTATCTATCTATCTATCTATCTATCTATATATATATATATATATATATATATATATAATTGTATATTTAGGCAGCAATCCTTCATTTACTCATGTTTCATTGAAAAACAACGCCAGACAAGGTACTACGATTAAGCTTATTATATTAATTTTTCTTGTGCTCGAAGAAGTGTTTACTTTTTTTGGGATACGGTGTATAGAAATTCTCCAAATGTTCTATAATTCCGAGCGTTTCGGGTTATACTTTTAGCCATTATTAAGGATGATTTGATTTTTTCACTTTAATTGGGTGCGTTCGTTGTGTGCATGTTTTTACTGTTACAGAGATGTTTTATTTTCTGAACACAGTTAGCACATTGTGGCCGTGTTCACAGTTAATATTAAGTGTTGGCTTTTTCTTTTTTTATTAAGGTTTCCATTATTTTTCATCTTTTTTTTTTTACTTTAGAAAAGGTTATTATGTTTGTATTTTCTACTAGTATGTTTCGGATGAAGTCTGTTAAGTTTGTGTGTGTGTTTAAATGGATTCTAATAGAGCTGTGGTCAGATACGTGTAACGTAAGGCCCCTGGATAGGCATGTAGTCGTGTGACCAATGTAATTAGGTTTGACCAGGAACACAGTTCCTTAAGGGGCATTTGAACTCATAGATGACGATCGTTTGTTGTAATTTTGACTTTGCTGGTGTGTTGTTATTTTTGAGGATAAGGATATTCAGGTTATTAGGGGTAATGTTTTTTAAATTTTTAAATCTTGTTTGATAATTAATTTTATGATTTTTGACATTTATATATATATATATAAATTGGGGTTTTTAAAATGTATTTCTTTATATATATATTATCTAAGTGAAGTTCCCAACCCGTCATCTTGTTTGCAGTTAACAGATTGACAATTGGTGGTTTTTTTGTAAACAATCAAGAAAATATTAATGTTATTTTTTTTTTCCTTTCAAAAGATAGAGAAAAGAGAAGATGTATTACTATGACGAGAAAAATATCTTTATTAGAAATATGACAATATATATATATATATATATATATATAATTAGCATATTTTTTTTTTTTATTAATTTTTTTAAATAAAAATAATAATCTATATATATATATATATATATATATATATATATTTTTCATAAAGATTCTGTATAATTTCATTTACTCGCACATATGTCAATGTCATTAAACCATTTGGATTGGAAAAGTTCTAACCTTATTCACTAATAAAGGATTGGCATTTTCTCGCTTCTCAAAACATTCCTCCCAAACGATTTATTTTTTCAGATCAAGACCATTTCCATTATATCTAATTTTAAATCCAGATCATTAACAGCAAATGCAGTACAAATTAGCCCAAGTGACGTTATACGCAAAATAAAATGGCTTCCATCTGTGAATTTTATGAATCTTGAAACATATGATATACCAGTTTATCTTTATAAAATTTTTTATCCAAAAATAAATAATTATTGAATCTGCTCTAAGTAATGTTCTCCAAAAACGGCAATTAAATTTTCTTTTAGAATAAAAAGGTAATTTGATGAATAAAGTTGGGTTTATTGAAATTTATTCCGTATACATTACAAAAGTCCTACGTACCACTACGGAATTCTACGAAGGTTCATTGGTTTGAGGGGTTTTCAAGTAAAATATTTTTTCGTAGATTTCTATTCACGAAAAAAACTTCTCAATAAAAAAAAAATTCTTTATTCAAAACCTGTTCTTTATTAATTAATTAATGAAACAATAACTTCATCACTGATATTTACAATAAAATAAACGTGGTTATGTTTACAAACATCTATTCGTACTACTACTACTACTACTTCTCTCTCTTTTCTCTCGGTCTCTCTCTCTTTCCAAGACAATCATCAGCAGTCAATATGTGCTAATTGTTCTGAGCACGGTATTTCGACTTGATTTTGCCACCATTGGCTATCTAACATTACTTGTTATTATAAGCTTTTCTTGTGCTTGGCACTGCGCGTGTTCAACAACATTATAGCCGATATTATGGGATGTTCAATAGATCTGACGGTGGCCATCCGTTCAAAACAGCATCGTTGTATTATTCCCAGATATATTTATGAACTTTTGGCTACTTTATCGAAACTTAGATACGTAATTTAATTGAGATCAGCCTAAGTATTTTGCTTTGAAATTAATGGATGATTTTTAATCCATTTTGAATAACATTGACCGAGTTATTGGTCGTCGACGATATATATAATTATAACATAAATTTGTTGTATTTTTGTTGAAACAAATGGCTGGTGATTTTATAATATATTTATGTTATAATTTTTAAATAAATAATTATATCTGCTCTACTATGTATTGAGCACTCTTTAAGAATAGAATTCTTGATATGGAATTTATTCCGTATACATCAATCCTATAGGATTATTAAAATATTTGGAATTTTTTTCCTTTGATTTTAAATTATCGACCACGAGGCATTTTTGTAATAACATCAAGAGAGGCCGGGAGATATTGAGACAGGCAATTTGAATATTTTATTTTTGCAAGGTAGGCAATATTCAGCCTTGCAAAATGGGAATATAGAATTGTTTTGAATTAACATAATTTTTAGTTTAAATCTTATTGACTGTGACCTTCATCAAATAAATATTCGTCCAAGAACTTTATTATCCCTCTTCTTAGGATAAAATTATACTATGGAGAAAGCTATGATCCTTCTTCTTTTCACTGGTGTTTTTATAATCAAATAGAATAAAACTGTTCAGCAAAATACTGTCCTCTCTCTAACCTGTGAAACAGTGGCTGTGATAAAATCAGTGATTCTCTGGTTTCTATGGAGTTCTTTGTATGGTTTTCTTTCACTGGCGCTGAGTCACTGGTTTACCATGCTTTGGCACATTAATCTTTAACCAATGCAAGTTGCCAGTAGTGTTTATACGCTGGTCAGTTAAGTCTATTTTTAGTTTTAAATATCTTTATAATGAACTTAAGTTAATCTGTTTCTTTTTTTAATTCTTCGTCTTCGCTAAGATATTTTATGGACTCTTTACATGTCTTTTCGTTTTACTAAGTTTGTTTAATAGGATTAATTTTACATTTAAATTTTGGGCATGGAAGCAAGAAACCGGATGCGGTTCCACATGCGAGAAGTACGTGAAAGGAGATTAACAGAACAGAACTTACGGTTACATATAGCTAATTCAACAGTTGCCAGCCTAGTAGGACTCTTGTAATCATGTTAGTAAGTAGGAGAGCGATATTTAATTGTATAAAAATACAAAATGTGGCACAAGGCCAAAATGGAGAATAGTGGGGGGGGGAGATGGTCTTAACATTAAACTTAGCTAGCCATGATCACTGACCCCAAAATACCACAATATTCCTTACACCAAAGCAACGCATTCTTACTTACTATTCTTACAACATTCACTCTAATACCTCAGTGTCTCTATGAAATCCTAAATAGTCCCCATATGTACAATTCCTGTCTGGGAGTGGAATAAAATAACAATTAAAAAATTTAAACCCCTAAGTAGGAGAACATTATTTATTTGTAGTATTTACAAATGTGCCACAAGGCCAAAAAGGGAAATGGAGAAAAGGACGTTCCTCTGCCTTAACAATAAACTTAGCTAGCCACAGACACTGACCCAATCATACAACTATATTTCTTACACCAAAACAAGGAATTCTTACTTACCATTCTTACTTCATTCGCCATATCTCAGTTCTAAAAAGCCCCCATATGTAAAATTATGTATATGTCTAGAGGGGGAATAAAATAACAATTTTAAAAATCTAAACCCCCAAATAGGAGAGCGATATTTATTTGTAAATATTTACAAAATGTGGCACAATGCCAAAATTGGGAATGGGGGAAAAGGACGGTCTTTATCTGTCTTAACTTTAAACTTAGCTAGCCACAAACACTAACCCAAACATACCAAAATATTCCTAACATCAAAACAGCACATTCGTACTTCCCTTTCTTACTACATCCGCCATAATACCTCATTGTCTCTAGGAAAATTTAATTAGTCCCCATATGTAAAATTCATTGTCTGTTTGCGTGGGGAAGCAACAATTTAAAAAAGAAACAAGCCCTAATGAGTATTTACAATATGAAAACAAAACCATTTACAAGAAATCAAATAAAATAATGTTAGTAATAAAAGCCCCTCAATCCTTAAATGTGACAGAAACATCAGTTAGCTGACAACATCAATGCGGGACCTAATAATATAAAATATTCATTCATCCCATGCACTTCCTCAAAGAAACACTCATTCAAACACAACAACAAAGAAAATCACACCCAAAACGAAAGACGCCCCGCATCCACCAGAGAACTAACATCACTGACCACCTAACAAGGGAGAGGATGGGGAATTAAACCAAAGAAAAATAAAGACAGAAATAAAAGGGGCCTCTGAGTATACATACCGTACCCCAAGTAGAAGAGCTTATTAAAAGAGCCATGAAAATATTTATAGAAAAGTCACATCACTGTGGTTGGAAAACGACTGAAGTTGAGATGTCAGTTAAGTGAATTCCGTATACCCCCACAATACGGACATCTGCTTCTCTTAAATGTTGTTATATATTCCTGATTATTAAGGGTAAAAAGTTATTCAGAGAAATTACGAGTATTTTCGTCGACCAAAAACAAATTGCTGAGTTCTATGATTTGTCAGAAGTCGTTTTAATTTTACAAAATTCAAAATTCTTCAACAATTCTTCCAGGTCTGTTGACAGAAGAGAGAAGTTCTCAAGCTTTAGGAATATATTAAGACCTTGGCTTAAAATCAAACAAGCAAGTAGCTTTGATAAAGGACGGGGGAAACTTTGGCAAATTAATCCTTAACCAAAGCAAGAGTCGGGTAGTGTTTATACGCTGGTCAGTTAATGGAATACATATCGTGCGATTTCGGCTTAAAATTGATCCCCGTTTCCCCACTCTTTCTTTCTTATTCTGTTTCCACTTCTCTTTGATCTTTTTGTCTTTTCTTTTCTTCCAATGTAACTCATGCTCTAACTCTTTCTTTATTTTTTTGTTTTTTTTTTGTTTTAAGTTTTCTGCTCACATTTTATTTCTCTTTTTATCTTCTCTTTTTTTACCCTTTTTCTTTCTTTCTTTTTTTTTTACTTTTTATTTTGTGTTTCGTTTTTCTCTTTTGTGTATCTTTCATTTTCTCTCTCTCTTTCTCTTTCTCCCTTTCTTTATTTCTCTTTTTTTTTCTTTATCGCCTTGATTTTCATCTATTTTCTTTTTGCTTCTCTCACTCCATATCTTTAATTATCTCTCTTTATGTCTCTCTCTCTCTCTCTCTCTCTCGTTTCGTCTTTGTTTTCTTTCTTTAGATTTAACACTCTAATCTCTTGATTTTTTTCTCTTTCCTTTTTTTCTTTTTAATCCCTTTTCTCTATTTTGATCTTTCTTTTGTTTTTCTCTTTTTACTTCTTTTTTCTTTCTTTATTAGTTTCTTTCTTTCGCTCTTCATATTTCTCATTCTTTTTCTCTATCTTTCCCTTCCTCTCGCTTCCACTCTCCCTTCCTCTTCTTTGAAATTTCTCTTTCCTTTTTCTTTAACGCCGTCATTTTTCTCTCTTTTTCTTTTAGCTTCTCTAGCTCTTTCTCTTTATCTTCCTTGCACTTTACCTCTCTGTTTTTCTTTTCTTTATCTATCTACTTTCTCGCTTTTTTATCATATTCTCTCTCCGTTTTTTTCCCTCTCTCTTTTGCCCTCTTTCCTCTCTTTTCTTTTTATTTCTCTCTTTTTAATTTCATTTTTTTTCGTTATTTCTTTCTTTCTTTATTCTTTTTTCTCTTTCTCAATTTTCACTTCCCCCTTTCTCTTTCTCTCTCTTTCTTTGCCTTTTCTCTCTTTCTTTGTCTTTTCTCTCTTTCTTTTTCTTTATAGCCATCATTTTTGTCTCGTTTTCTTTTCGCATCTCTCTCTCTCTCTCTCTCTCTCTCTTTATTCTTCTCTTTTGACATTTTCCGTTCTACTTCTCTTTCTTTTTTCTTTTGCCTCTCTAATTACTCATTTTTCTATCTTTTTCTCCTTCCCTATTCTATTTCTCTCTTTTTCTTTTAGCCATCTTTCTCTCTCTCACCCAATTTCCACGGGATTTTAGTTCACAATCAGAATTTACATGGACACAGTTCACAATTATGAAATATATATATATATATATATATATATATATATATATATATATATAGAAGAAGGACGTAATCTTCACGATTAATCATCAATATCATTCATCGACTTTTTATCTATATTTACCGCCTCCCGCTTCGTCAGCTTTAACAAGATTCCGCGTTCAAATTTAGTTTTCTGCTTCGATGTCCAGATCTGAAGACTAATAACCCCGGTTTTCATTGTTAAAATGGAACGAAAATTCCAGCGATGATCCATGTCGAATCCATAACTTTCTGCATCAGTCCACAACAAATTCTTAAGTAATATTGCGTGCCCAGCCTCGATTAGTGCTTGCTCACCGTCTTTTAAAATACGAGGGATCCATTTTCTCGTCAAGAGATCCACAAGCGTGAACATGGAATGTTTCTTTTGCTCCAACACAACTGACAATCATAAAACACCACCAATAAAACGAACGAATATGTAGCTTGCCCGGTCTTCATCCGGCTTTCAAAGTAGTGTTTTGTTAAAAAAACACTATTTTGTCTGTGTTTCGATAAATACTCATGAGTCATTTCTCCGTCTGTTTTTTTTTCTAAAAATATCCAAACTAGAATTTGATACATATGCACTTGAATTATACAGGGGTTAAATGAAAACAAACAACACAAAAATAAAAAATTTTTGTTTTAAATTCCTAAAGACACACGTAAAGGCACATACAGTGATGTTCGATAAAAAGTGACTCACCTGATTTTTTTTTACTAAAAATATTTTTGTCTATTGTCTTTGGGGTTAAAAAATTTTTAATCTTACTAATATAAAGACCCCTTCCCGACCACCTAGGAAAAAATTTTATTCACCCTAAGGTATTCTATTGATAATTATAAATTTGGATATAAATGAGATTCAGGAAAAAACTCTATGCAAAAAAAACATCGCATTCTAATGATTAAACTAGTAAATTTAAAGAACTTTTGACAAAATATTGAAAACTATTTTACAATACACTCAGAACTCAGAAGAATATTCTAGAGAATTCTAGAACAGCTTAAATTAAATCTAGAGTATTCCAGAATATTCCAGAAAGCCTCATACAGTATAAAAACAGCTTGAAATATCCACTCAAGTCACTAACCAGATGAAAGGGTACAAACATGCATCAGAACCACTTAAGGCATCTATTATTGCCTTCCCAAAAGCAGACAAGTCTACGAGAGAAATTGCAGAAATTGCTATAACCTTGCAATCAACTGTCTCTCGTGTGCTTAGGGCACATAATGATGCCACTCCTGCTCCAAGGAAGGAAACAAGGGGACGAAAGAAAAAGATTGATGATAGAACTGGCAGGGTAATCAAGACAGAAGTTGCGAAGAATAGGACTATAACTAGCCAAGGAATTGCAGCCAGTCTAAGCGAAGAGCAAGGTGTTAGTCTTGCCTCTTCAACAGTCCGTCGGTGGCTGTTAGAACAAGGCTACAAATCTTGTACACGAAGGTTTCAGCCGCTAATAAGCAAAGCCAAGAGACTTGAATGGGCTCACTATTACAAAAATTTCACCGTAGAAGACTGGAAGAATGTTCTCTTCTCCGATGAAACAAAAGTTGAGCTAAATTCAAAGGATAAGGTGAGTCACTTTTGTTGAACATCAGTGTGTGTAGCTTGACCGGTCTTCATCCGGCTTTCAAGGTAAAGGTTTGCTAAAACCGACTATTTTGTCTTAGTGGGTTTCTTGCTAAAATGATAGGAACAATTCGATGTATTACTATTATGAAATTGTTGCCTGGAGATCGAAGATGAATTATTGTCCGTATTCTAGATTTAATTAAAATTAAAAAAAAAAAACTGATGTATTTTAATTAAATAATGATAATAATTTATCTCGTGAGAATCAACAAATACATTTTTCTAAATTGTTCTTTTCTTTTTCTTTTTTTTTTTTTTTGCCCGCAATGCCAGTGAAAACTCATATTCTACATAATGTATCGACCATCGGTTCAAAAATAGGCTCGCCGGGCCGAGTTCTTGTCACAGGGGAGTCTATTGCATTCACTTTCGTGCAGATGCCATTGGGAAATGCACGCTTCGTTTTCTCCGCCATCACTCCAGATATGGTTTAAATTACAGCTCGAGACAAACTTGTCTTGAACTGTAACTATTCCAAACTCGTGGAGAAGACAACGGATCACTACTCCACTATTTTTCCTAAAAATACATGGCAATTCAAATATGATGAAAAGGAATTTGTGGAGAGTCATAATCGCATAAGACCTAAAGAGAGATGAATATAAAAAGAATTATCGTATTTCTTATATTAATCACTTCTTATGAACCTCCTGTGCTTACACTACCTTGTGATTATTATTAATAAATTTTTTGAACTTGTCATTTGATAGCTACATATCAGCCGATACGGTCTTTGGCATTTCATAAAGTTCTGAAATAACTTTTTCATCATTATTCTACAAATTACTTGAACGAATATCAAGATTTTTACGTTTTTTTATTATGACAACGTTTCAACAGTTTCAATCATCTTCAGGTATGGGGTATGCGTCCTGGGTATGACGATAAACTATATCCGGCAACAAGGCGTCTGATCGAGTGGTTTTGAGAAGCGTGAAACTACCTCTTAATTACTGTTTTTCCCAGGTTGACATTGTTATTCTTTTTCATTATACGTTGGTTTTGTACCTATAAAGTAAAGGTCGATCTATTCCACAGCCATCTTCTATTGGGAAAGAGATAATTATGTCTTGAATTTATTTCAGTTTATTATCCTTTCCTTCGAAAAGAACATCTCTCTTTCATTACTAATTAGAAACCTGATGAAGGCTGTAGAACGAGTCAACCGAAACGCTTTATTAATCGAACAAATCAAACCAGTAGTCCAAACCACAATTCCATGAATTTTGACGTTTTTTTTTTTTTAATAAAAGAAAAAATATCATTGTTTGCCTTTAAATTATCAAACAGATTTTGGTTTTAGTAATGTATTTTCGTTTTTTGTTTGTTTGTTTTTTTTTTTTTTTTTAATAAAGTTCCATATTGGATACAAGCAAGGGCGAATATGTCTCGTTTGATTGATGACTGACTATGCATTTTTCCCGCAGGAGGTTGCCGTTTCTATGTGCGATTAACTGGTTGCTAACCAAAGCTATAGAATCCAGATGGCCTGCTATTCACCCCTTAGTTGTGGGAGAAGCGATGGATTCATAACTTTGAAAAGTTTGTTTGCTCACAAGTGAATGTAATGAACCCGACTGGAATTAAAAACCGGCTCTCCTATTTCTCATTCCAAGCCATTTTCCGTCACACCGCAGCGCATATACTTTTAAAAATTCTTTTGAACACAAACATAGAGTTACCCCCCTTTTATTATGTTTTTGGGTTTCGGTTCCTTCTAAAGACTGCCTCATCTCTTTTTCTTTTCCTACGATAAGTCAATACAGTAACTCTCTATTGGCTCTTTAAAGTTTGTAATTAGTAAAAAAAAAAAAAAGTGCCCACGAAAAATTAACGTTCATGTAATTTTAAAAATCTAAATAACATTGTAGATTTGACAAAAGGGTAACACTCTGTAATGGTAAACACTTAGAAGAAGCGTTGTCTGCAACCTTACAAGAAAAATGTGCATGTATTGATAACCAAGACAAGTCCCAGAGAAAAATAACCTAAAAGAACTGCTCGAAAATACTGAAAGAAAATAAGATTTTTCATCTCATAAATCTTATACTGCTGTATTTAGAAGTGTATCGAAATTCCAAAAGTTCGTCGAAAGCCTTCGTTTTGCCGTAGCCGGACGCGCGTCGTGTCGGCAGTGGTCGTGGGACCACCACACGTAGTGCCGATTTTTCGAAGGCCTCCGGTGTTGCCGGACGCCCGTAATGCGCCTTTAGAATTAGTCCGTCGAATCGTTAATGCCCAACTTCGTCCAAGGCCTAGCCGGACGCGTCGTGCGCCTCGGCAGTGGTCGTCGGACCACTATCTCAAAAGTTAGTGCCGTCGAATCCTTAAATGCCCAAGTTTTCGAAGGCCTCCTAAAAGTTTTAAGTTGGTCATTTATATAAAATCTATATTTATTCACCAAATTATTAATACAATATTCAGTCGAAAGAAAAGAGAATGATTCTTAAACAATTCAAAATGTTCCGGCTTTTAAATAACCAAAAATTATATACTCTAAAAGAAATCAATTTCAAATCCCTTCATCTAGAACCTTGGAGAAGTTGCCAAAATTATTGTTTTTGTCGTTTTTTTTTTGTTTTGTTTTTAGAGTTTTCCTTCATCTAAACCACCGAGACACAGAGGCCTACTGGATGTCGAAACAAAAGCTATCAGTATATTGTTTTAAATTCTTGAAGATTAAAGTTGACTTCAAGCATGGAACCAGAAGTTGTTCCACAAGCAAGAAACAAAAAAAGCTTTTATAGTATCCGGCCATTGTCGATAAGATTTTGCCAGTCTAGTACTTCATCTAGACCATAGAGAAAAGTTGAACAATTAATTAAATTATTAATGAAACGACAAAGTAGGCAACTTTACGGCTATAGTACCTTGTTAGAGTATTCCTTCATTTATCCAGATCTCTAGATATAACCAAGGCTATAGTAATGTTAGACCTTATTAAGATTTATTATGGAGAGAAAATTCATCTAGACCAACTTTATTAGCAGCTGACCAATGGATTCAATATTCTTTTCACTTCATGCTATATGACCTAGTCTATCCTTTGATTATTTAAACTAACAAGCCATTCTTTGTCCCAGAAATCTGAAGGTAGTTGACATCAACCTTTATAAACCATAAGCCGATCGATTTAATATCGAGACAGAAATTATTCAAAGAGACGGAATCATTTGCAATAATTGAACTTGGAAAATTAAAGTTTCTAACTCAGAATCATCCAATGGTAAAGTTGAAAAGACCTGTTCTTATACTGCTGTATTAGTGTAGAACTAAAAAAGTCCCTAGTCGCTATCCATTATACCAAGGTTGGTTTGCATCCACATCTAGAATAAAAAGGCTATATAACAGTTTTCCTTCATCCCAGTTGCTATCTAGACCGGTTGCAACCAAGAGTTTTTCCTTCATTTAGACCAACCAAGGCTATAGTTTGTTAGAGTTTTCTTTCATCTAACAAGGCTATACCTAGTCTATCCTGTTATTTAAGAAATATATGTTTTTGCCTTCAATTCGAACCGCTTTCCTCCACCCTAGTCGCTATCCATTATACCAATGCGCATCCACATAGAATAAAATATAAAGTACCTTGCTAGAGTTTTCCTTCATCTAGGCCGGAGTTTTCCTTCATCTAGGCCAAACAAGGCTATAGTATATTGTTAGAGTTTTCCTTCATCTCGACTGGTTGCCAACCAAGGCTATAGGACGTAGTCTCTCCTGTTATTTAAGAAATGAGAAGGATTCATACTTTTCCCAAAGCTATTTGCACTCGATTGAATTCGAACTCGGCTCTCCGATTCCTCCATCCGAGCCGCTATCCATTATACCAACGCGCATCCACATAGAATAAAATATAAAAAAATATTACTAGTGGCCAGTATATTTAAATACCACGCTAGAATAAACTAGGTTAGTATTTAATATACATACCAGGCTACTAAGACTAATTCTAAACAACCTTCAACGACTATTGTTGGACATTGGTCTTCCACTAGAACTACTAGCGTTTCATTCCTGAACTGAATTTGATATTGTTCCAAAACATAATCCCATCTGCTGGTCGCAATTTTAACTCATGGTTTCAAGAGGCCCAGCTTGTGAGTCGAGATGTCCAACGACTGTTTGATGTACTTTTAAGATGACCTCTCCATTGACAATGAAGTTTACTGAAGGCTTTTTGAACATCATTGTTGATTTACTGTAACGATTCGATAACACTAGACGTGAATCGTCATGACTCAAAATTTTATTCTATCTACTATTTCTTCACTTACACTCGGCGAGTCTGTAGTACGATCTTCTTTTCTCCCGCTCCTTTACTTGGTTCTTACGTTCTGTTGGCGATGTGTGTGAAAGGCTTTCGTTTATATAAACGCATGTCTTACAAAATCTGCCACACGCCTTCAGAATTCCAGTTGGGTTCATTTCATTCACTGACAAAAAAAATGCCCATGGGAAAGGATTTAATCAATCTTCTCTCCCAAACTATGGATGAAACAGTAGGATATTTATCTGGAAACAATGTGATTCTCAAAAGATCTGTGGTTACAATATTCATACGCTAAAAAAAAAGAATTATTCTTATAATCCAAAATATCTTTCCGATTTAAATAACCCACAAAGGGTTGATAAGCTGTAAAAAATAAATAAATCAGTGTACACCTAAAAACCGGATTGAGTTGAAAGATCTCGTGATTCCTCTCTGGTCAGAAAAGTGAAACGTGTGTAATGTCTATTCCGATACCGTGTTGCTTTAAAATTAATCCAGTTTTTTTTCAATATGGTTTCTTTTTAGGCACGTTTCGCGAATTTTAGTCTGAGTTTAAGTTCCATTTCCATGTTTCATTTCTTTAAGTAACTAATGCAAGAATGCAATGATTATAGTCTTTCTTCTAAAAGCCAAGGCTGCAGATCCTTCTTCTAGAAGCAATGGTAGTAAATGTTACATTTTAAAACCAATACATCGTTTATATCATTCAAGGATTATATCGCGTCCTGGGTAAGACGTTAAACTACATCCGTGTCCTGGGTAAGACGTTAGACTACGTCCAGCAGCAAGGCCTCTGATCAGGAGGTTCTGAGGAACGTGGAACCAGCTCTTAATTGCTGGTGTTCCTAGGTCCAACCTGACCCCGGGTGGTAGCACCTGTTAGGCTCCAAGCTATGGATAAATAGTTAACTATTGCCAGCAATGCTTTTTTGAAGGGAAGTATTGCCAGCGATGCAATTTTGAAGGAGATGTGTTGCCAGAACCAGATTTTTGACAAAACAAAATATTGCCAGCAATTTTTATCGGCGTTGAGTGGCCTATTGTGGTTGATGTGCAGTAAAACGGGATAGACCAAACCAATCTAAACCAAAGAATACATACTCTATTCATACAAATCTATCCTAAAAATATTGTCGGCATTAAATAACCCAATGAGGTTGATATGCAAAATAAACCAAACTATCCTATTCAAAATCTATTGTCGGCATTAAATAACCCATTGAGGTTGATATGCCGTAAAACAAAATAAACCAAACCAATCTAAACCAAAAATACATATTCTATTCATTCGAATCTATCCTAAAAATATTGTCGGCATTAAATAACCCATTGAGGTTGATATGCCATAAAACAAAATAAACCAAAGAATACATATTCTGTTCATACGAATCAATTCTGAAAATGTCGGCATTAAATAACCCATTGAGATTGATATGCCGTAAAACAAAATAAACCAAACCAATCTAAACCAAAGAATACATACTCTATTCATATGAATCTAGCTTAAAAATGTTGTCGGCATTAAATAACCCATTGAGGTTGATATGCCGTTAAACAAAACAAACCAAGGATTATATCCTTCTTTTAGAAAACAAGTCATCTATGGTCGTGGACAACAATGGCTAGTCTTAACGTCCTGCAATTTTTTTTTTTTTTTTTCTTTAAGTAACTTTTGCTCCTTTACTCGTTCTCTGCCATCTATTCACACAATCTCGTTACATATTCTACTTTCAGGGCCTGGCTGTTCATGGCTCTTCACAGCTACTTATCTTTTGTTGCGCTAACTCTGGCCCCTTTATTCATTGCACTTATTCTGCCATTACGTCACCCAAACTCGTCTAGTTTCTCCTCCTAATCTGAGTTTCAACATGTTGTGTGAATACTAAATTCTCCAAAACTTATTCTTCAATATATGTCCCCAAAATGTCAGCTCTCACTTTTTTGATACAGTGGGGATAAATGATGGCGAAGAAAAGAGGGAAAGATATATATATTTATTTGTTTGATATCAAAAGACTGTGACTGAAAACGTGATACAGTAAAATGCCTTATGGGGAGATAGAGCAAAAGAAAGATAAAAGAGAGGATGCAGTAGGAAGTATTTGTACATTTCTTATTAGTTTTTTTTTATATATATATATATCAAAATAATATGTATCATTTAGATGGATGAAAACGAATATTGAAGGCGAGGAGGGATAGTATGAGAAGATACAGCGATAGGTTGAGAGAAGAACACAGATATGAGGTAACGAATCATCTCTGTTGTCTGCATCTATGGAATGCGGGATTGCTGTGTGATATCTATCCTCTTAGGGGAACGTTGGAAAATATCCCTACAGATGCGCTAGAGGCAGTAGAAATGTGATTCTACAAAAGGAAAATGAAAATACCATGGAGGGAAAGAGTAAGCAAGTAAATGCCAACAGCAAGAACACTTCTACTCAAAATCAAGAAAAGACAGCGGAAGATTCCTTGGACACATAATGAGGAATACGGTTTTGAACCCCCCACCCCTTCCAGAGGGCACGTTGATGAAAAGAGAGATAGGGGAAACAGCATGTCACTTACCAGACGAGCTTGTATCAAAGTATGGTGGAACAAGGGGGCTGTTTCGGCTTTAGCATTTATGGAAACTGCTATGAACCACAAGAGATAGGAATTGTGGAGGGCCATGATCGGTCATGTCCTGAAGGGACGCGGCGCAAGGAAGAAGAAGAAGAAGACGAAGAAGAAGAAGACGAAGAAAAAGAAGAAGAAGAAAAAGAAGACGAAGAAAAAAGAAGACGAAGAAGAAAACGAAAAGAAGAAGAAGACGAAAAAAAGAAGACGAAAAAGAAAACGAAGAAGAAGAAACGAAAAAAAGAAAAAGAAGAAGAAGAAGAAAAGAAGAAGAACAAAGAAAACGAAGAAGAAAAAAAGAAGAAGAAGAAAAAAAGAAGAAGAAGAAGACGAAGAAAACGAAGAAGAAGAAGAAGAAGAAGAAGAAGAAGAAAACGAAGAAGAAGAAAAAGAAGACGAAGAAGAAGAAGAAGAAAAAAAAGAAG